GCCTGGCCCGCTGTGTTCCTCCTGCTCTATGTATATCGCTGAGCCATTGTGCTGCCTTTCTGACTCCAATAATGCTACAGTACTTCCACTCATTCTGAAGCTTCAAAAGTGGAAGTCCTTCAGCAAGTCCCACGCTGATGGTTCGTGGAGGGAGCTGAATGGGTGTCCTGTTGGATTTTTAAAGAGATGGTGTTAATTTATGAATCCAAAAATGATAAGCTGGGTACAAAGTCAGTATGAGATACTGATTGATCTTCCCACTCGATCTTGATTGTAAGTGGAACTTTTATCCTACTGTCCTTCCAAACATGGCAATCAGTACAGGCTGTGTTGTAAGTAGATCAACTGCCATTTTTGGGACTCTAGGCTTCTGTAGCGTGGAGACCAGCAAAATGCCGGGGAGCTCAATTTTCCTGCCAAAGTGTGTGCTCTGGAGGTAGAGAAAAACAAATGCAATAAATTGAAATCGACAATATAGATTTTGTTGAGTATGCGTTTCAATCTCCATGCTTTGAAAAACATTCTTGCAGTTGTAGAAAAGTGTATGAAAACAGAAATGGGATGCAGCATTTGGATTTTCCTCTTGCTTACATGGGGACTTACCGTGTGTATGTGTGATAATGTTCGGATACCATCACACTGCCAGTGTTCAAAGAAAACAATTACTGGGCCCAGGAGCACAGCAAGTAGAAAATCTAGGGAAAAAATTGGCAGCTGCTCTTATGAGATCCAGTTAGCAAACTACACAGGACTAGTCAAGAACAGAGTTCTGAAGGCCAATAACAGGATAGCAAGTGTTACTCATTCTAAACAGCTACTTCCACTCTAATAATCGACAACAATTTCCTTCCACCTTCCAAGTATGGAAACATTAATGAGTTTATGCAGCTGTGTTTGATAGACTTGGTTTTAAATGAGGCCCATTGTATGAATTAACAATAGATATTCATGGAATGTTGCAGTCTGACACTACAGTCCTTACAACAGTTTTCTCTCCTGGGTTGAATCTGCCAGAAAATCAAGCTTGATGTCTAGGGTCCATACGGTTTCATCTACTATCTTCCGTGTACCTGGTTGGAAGGGATCGAAGTGAAGCAGCTGTGCTGTCCTGAGGGATATCTGATTCTGTTCTGCAGCAAGGTTAGCCTGTGAGTCACTGTTGCAAGCTGATCTTGTCAGCGTTGTGAATAGGGCTGTATTTCCATGTTGGCATACACAGAGTACATTGGATGGAATCTTGCTAGCCTGTCTGCAGCTTTTGGAAAGCCACACAGGAAATGGTACTTGGAGACCAAGTGTCAATTTCCCCACGGCAGGTTAAACTTCTGTTCGTTGGTTTTTCATAAGTTTTCAGACAAGTCAGTCTTCCTGACCAGAGTTGGTGGGAGCCAGTTTTGCATTTGTGAGCTACAAATGTGATACGCGTCTAGTAGCAGTTGGGACGCACTGCCCCACCCAGTCTCTGGAGGATACTTGGCTCCCTCAGGATCAAGCTGTTTCTTTGCACAAGTGCTTTTAGTGTTAGGGCCGAAGCCTCCCTGTCTACAGCAGTTCACAGGGAGTCTCATCCACATGCAGTCTACCAGTTTGTCCTTAAACACACACAGTGTTTGGGATTTTCACCAGCTCAATAGGGCTGCTAGTCTGCCCTGCAGAGGTAGCCACATGAGCTGGTTTTAGCTCATGTGACTGGGCCAGGCAAGGGAACCATAACTAAAAAGGGAG